TCGGAAGAGGAGGCTCAATCGGTTGCGCAAAAGCCTGGTGTCGTATCCGTTTTCCCCGATCCACTGCTAAAGCTCCACACAACCCACTCGTGGGATTTTCTTAAGCACCAAACTTCTGTGAAGATCGACTCGGTTCCCAAAACCACAGACTCGAATTCTTCTTCCGATGGCTACGACACCATAATCGGCATCTTGGACACCGGCATTTGGCCCGAGTCCACCAGCTTCAACGACAACGGAATAGGCCAAATTCCACCTCGCTGGAATGGGACTTGCACTGAAGGCCATGATTTCAATTCCTCAAACTGTAACAGGTTGACACATTACTCTGCTAATTAAATAACAATAAACGGATTCGAATTTGAAAAAGCATATAAATGAAATCGCTAGAATTAACCAACTATAACAAGCATGGATATAAAAGGGAAAAAAAAAATACTACGACGAAATCTTCCTTTTTCAATTATAAATATGAGGATTCTCATTTGTCTTAAATTTGAATATTAGAAAATTGATTGGCGCGAGATTTTACGGCGGAGATGATAGTGATTCGGACGAGGACCAAACAGCGAGGGACAAGGTGGGCCACGGAACACACGTGGCGTCCACGGCGGCGGGAAGCACCGTCACCGGCGCGTCGTACTACGGCCTGGCGGCGGGGACGGCGAAGGGTGGGTCCCCCAGGTCGAGGATCGCGATGTACAGGGTTTGCACGGAGGACGGGTGTCTGGGATCGGCGATTCTGGCGGCGTTCGACGACGCCATCTCCGACAAGGTCGACGTGCTGTCGCTGTCGCTCGGGTCGCCGGCGGTTTTTCGACCCGATTTGGATAACGATCCGATTGCGATCGGGGCTTTCCATGCGGTGGAGAAGGGGATTACGGTGGTATGCTCCGCAGGGAATGATGGCCCCTCGCCGGCAACGGTTAGCAACGCTGTGCCTTGGATTTTGACCGTTGCTGCTACGACCATTGACCGGGATTTTGAATCCGACGTCGTGCTGGGAGGAGGCAAAGTAGTAAAGGTAATGGACTTTGCTAAACTGGGCCCCTGTTGTAGGCCTTGTGGCCCACCAATTCTTCTTTGTCGCTCCCTCTTAAGCTTTTATTGCGCTTTTCCTTGTCAACCAAATAGACTTTCTGGACTAGAAAAGGTGAAGAACCGATAGTTTTCTACTTTTAAATGTCAATTTTGTATTAAAATTTGCCTATTTTATATTTAATTTAATATAATTTTGATTAGATTTAACAGTTAAAAACTGACCCTACCAATAGAATAAAAGATTATTTTTAACACAGCTTTTTCTTTTTTCCAGACATTAAAATTTAGTAAAATAGAGATAAAATTAGGGAGTTAATTTTTTTTTTTCTCTGATCCCTTAACTAGTTTCTTTAGTTTTGTTTTTATCTTTCTAAAAACAAACATATAAATGTTATAGTATTTATGAAAGGGAATTTTTATGTCTCTATAATAAGGTGGAGTACCTCTAGATTTCCCCAAAAAGGAAAAAAGACAGACGAAGAAGAGCTGATTGATTATATGATTTCTGTGTGAACTTCTTCAGGGAGGAGGCATAAACTTTTCACCCCTCCAAAACTCTCCAGTGTATCCATTGGTACATGCCAAATCTACCAAGAAAAGTGACGCGGACGACAATTCAGCCAGGTGATTGCTTCATAATCGTTTGAATCATGTAATATAGGAGTAGCTCTTTGCATGGATTTTATTTCCTGGTACATTATTAATATATCTTAATCACTCGGCAAAACATACAGCAACTGTCAAGGAGATTCATTGGAAGAAAATGCAGTTAAGGGCAAGATTGTTGTCTGTGAGAGAACCGATGGTTATTCGGTGTATGACAAGAGGGATACAGTAAAGAGTTTGGGAGGACTAGGTGTTGTCATTGTTGATGATGAATCAAGGGCAGTGGCAGAAAATTACAAATCATTTCCAGCCACTGTGATCAGTTCAAAGGACGCTGCAGATATCCTCTCCTATATGAACTCAACCAGGTAAATTTTATGTAAACCAAATGAGTGTCCTAGTATTTGAAGCAAAATCCAAAGCCGAGGATAATAATCTTTTGATGTTTGTGAAGCAACCCGGTTGCAACAATTTTACCAACTGCGACAATGACGGATTATAAGCCAGCACCCGCGGTGGCATATTTCTCATCCAGAGGGCCTTCATACGTTTCACCAAACATTCTCAAGGTATGGCCTTTTCGAAATGATACAATGATTATATTGTTTACCGAGAGAGAGAGAGCATTAATCAAAAGCAAAATCTGAACTGTTTAGTTCTTGTTCTGCAGCCCGATATTGCAGCACCTGGTGTGAACATTCTTGCGGCATGGATTGGCAACAGCGCGGAAGATGCTAATGAAGGCAAAGAACCTTCACTTTTCAATGTGATTTCAGGGACTTCCATGGCGTGTCCACATGTTTCTGGTGTAGTCGCGACCGTCAAATCTGAACACTCCGAATGGAGCCCCTCAGCAATCAAATCAGCAATCATGACAACAGGTTGGAAGCTGATAATGAACTGAGCTATATCTAAACTTGTGTATGCTTAAACTAGTTGTCCGTGACTAATTGCTTCCGATATTTACAGCAAGCCAAACAAACAATTTGAAAGCACCAATTACAACAGAGTCGGGTTCTGCAGCCACAGCCTATGACTATGGAGCAGGGGAGATAACGACAGAGGGGCCATTACAGCCTGGGTTGGTTTATGAAACCACTGTCATTGACTACTTGAACTTCCTCTGCTACATTGGGTTCAATACATCCAAGATTAAAGTCATCTCAAGAACTGTTCCTAGTGGTTTTGCATGCCCTGATAACCCAAGCTCCGAGGAGATATCAAATATCAACTACCCATCAATAGCAATCTCCAACTTCATGGGGACAACAAGCAGGAATATAAGCAGGACTGTCACATATGTCGGGGGAGATGGTGAAACGGTATTCACTGCCACAGTGGAAGCACCAAGTGGCTTAGACGTCAAAGTGATACCAGACAAGCTACGATTCACAAAAAACAATCAAAAGCTGAGCTATCAAGCAATTTTCTCTCGTTCAAGCAAGTCGAATAAAGCCTCATTTGGGACGATTCTGTGGACAAATGGCAAATACAAAGTCCACATTCCTTTTGTTCTAAACAATGAAAGCTAGATACAGCACAAATAAAGAGTCTGTACTATTGTTAGACCACCAAATAATTAATGTAGTTGGTTAGGACGCTGAAGTTGCTATTCCTCTTTCCATATCAAGCTTAAGAGTTCATCACCAAGATTAGAACTCCCACATAAATTCTCACTCAACTACACGAGCTATTCCAATTCTAACCAGCAACATGAAAAACTAAACATGTTGTCAACCATCTAAACTGATCACCCATGGACCACAATGTTTCAGATGGGATAGGAATAGGAACATTTTGGCAGAAAACAATGAACTGCTGCTAACGTTCAAACATTTTGTTTTAAACCAAAATTCATAATCACAACGGGATCAGCAATGCAGGCAACAGCTATCTGTGCCAGCCGTTATTCCCACCTCCCTATTATCCACTACTTTGCTCCTTAATTGTTCCATCTGATTTTCTTTGACCACTCTCAAACAATTGGTAGGCAATAATGGACTTCAACTAACGTATATGCAACTTAAAACTCCAAAGATAACTCCATATACAAAGGGGATTCAATCACCTTGGCAGCATATAACAAGAATTGCTTGCCAATGATAACAATGGTCTTCAAATAAATTATACTAAAAACTCAAAAAGATAACTCCATATACCAAAAAGGTTCAATAACCTTGACATAACAAGAATAGCAATTAATAAAGAACACCATTTACCACATTAACATAAGTAATGAGATCCAGATAACATCATATGTTCCTACATTAGAGAAGACTGGAGGAAGAAGAGATCTTTGGTAACTTGATTAACACAGAAGAGTACCAAGATCTTCAACTGAATAAAGAGGCTTCCCATACCGGAATACAGACATCATCCCGCGACCTCAAACATAAAAGAAAAGGCACAAAAACAATTAAGCACAAAAACAGATTTGTCTATGTAAAAGAGGATAGGAAATATTTCACTCAAAAGCCCATTGGTTTTCCCTGCGAACCTCCTCCTCCTCCTCTGGTGTAAAGTCATTCTTGATGTTGAATGTCTTGCGGATCTCCTCAGGAGTTTTGCCCTTTATCATGTCCGCCACCGTCTGGCAAGTCAGGTCCAGCAAGCTCTTGATATTCAAATAGTTTGCAGCCTACAAGCCAACCATAATATAAAAGGGGCATACTATAAACCACTATCTTTTTTTATTCAAATGGCAAAATCTCACTAATAAACGAGATTACATCTATAAGAAAAATATAATCATAGTTCCCAAAAACCCACACATCATACTAAAATTGAATATAATCAGATAAAGTTTGACCTAATCCCTCCGAGTTCAGTACTTGAACGCCATCGAGTGATAGAATAACATAACCATACAAACGAACACATATATATGATTGAAATTTCACTGGATAACCATACAAACGAACACATATATATGATTGAAATTTCACTGGAATGAAAACCCTAAATTAACGAACCACAGGAATTATGAACGGAAAAAAACAATTTTACTAAAAAAAATAAATTCCAAACTAGCCAATTTCCTCTAAATCAAAGCTAAATCCGATATCTATCTGTTTCAATCTGACGATTATAAGACGCGAAAAGCGAATAGTACGAGAAACAAAATAGAAACCCTAGGAACAAAAATAAAAACCAAACGGAAAAAAGAAACGTGAGCGGAATCGGAACAAAAAGGACGAGAAAAACGAAATCCAAGGAAGAGAAGGAGAAGAAAGGGCTAACCAGGATGAGATCGAAAAGGGTGGCTTGATCGACCTTGACGAAGTCAGCGTCCCAGGCCTTGAGATCGTCGTCGGCGGAGGAGGCGCGGTCGTCGGACTTGGGAGCCTCGACGTGCTTCTTGCAGTACTCGATGACCTTGGACAGGATCTTGCTCGTCACGTTAGGAAGAGGAATCCCGTTGTCGGCGCAGTCGTCCTCGATCATGTGCTTGATCGTCTGAGATTCAAGAGCCACCGCCTCATCGACCTCGAAAGTCTCGCCATCGGAGCTCTTCAGCGTAATCTTTCTGCCTGACGACATCTCTCCTTCAATCTCTTCTGATACCACTGCGACGAGTAGAGAGAGAAGGAAGAAGGGGGATAGGGGTTGAGAAATGAGGAGAGAGAGAGATGGAGCGACCGATAGAGCAATCTAAGGGGTAATGCCGTAATGGGGTACCTAAACCTTTTCTAGTTTTTATTCTATTCGAGAAAACCGAAAAAATGAAAATATTTAAAATATGCTTAAACATGTTACTCGTTCCAAAGCGCTCTGTCGTTCTGCATTTAAAATTTTCTGTCGTTGAGATCTTTAACAAAAAAGAATTGAACCTATAAAATAAAAAATAAAAATAAAAATAAAAATAAAGAAACGAATTCTAGCGTTTTCATCCATGTACACAAATGTCAATATCAAGTTGGTATTTTTCTTCTTTCCATCTGGTGCTTATAATATTTTTTAGTTGTTTGTTCAATTGCTAATTGTTTGTTCTTTCCCTGTTAATTATGTGTTTGAGTAAGTGACAATTTGATTTTTTTTCTTTATTATTTTGACAAATAAAACTCCAAATGTTTAAAAGGCTTGTAGTCCGAGGCTTTACGCTAATTTCCATTAGGTTTAAACGGAATTGATCAGAATCAATTACAATGCATGTGATTTGATATCATAGGGTATATTAGTAAACCCTTGCCTTTTTCTTTCTCCTTGATTTGATCCCGACTGCGGTCATGGTTCCAAATCTCAACTTTGGTCTCGATCCAAACCTCAACCTCGATCCAGTCCTGATTATTGACTCAACTGTGTCTTGGTCTCGTTCTCAACCCCCAACTCGGACCTAATGTTGTACCCCCCGACCACAATCCTAATCTCGATCTTTGATGTTATTTTGAAATATTTGTTAGCATGGTCATCAAGAAAAACTTTTATTTTTAATTACATAACACAGACTAATATAGAATTTTTTTGTAGTGGATATCATAGTACTTATAATTTTTGAATCGTATTAAATTTATGATATATTAATGTTCTCCATACATTATTTTAGAATGATATAGTACAAAATGCTATTATGGCTGGTAAAAGATATAGTTCTCTAATTTAAACGATCAGATCTATATTAAATTTTGTTAATTTTACCTACTTTTTTATACGACTTTAACTTAGATGTGACGTTCAAAAACATGCAAGTACCTATAGGTCCTACAACAATAGATTTTATGAATGTGGCAGACTCACTATTGCATAGCAATTCCTAGAACAAAATGATTGGAGTTCAAGGACAATAAGAATATTATGCAGTAGTAACAAAGAGAAAAATATTTATATGCAGTTCTTGACCAAAAATAAGTCCACAGTCATGTTTGTCAATGCAACGATTAATATCCAGCCAATAAAACACTAGAAGATGGCTTTGACAGGTTTTGTGGATAGTATACCTTTTTATCTTTTTAAAAAAATGATGGTTCAATCGCGCATCCGTACATGAAAATTCAACAAAACAAAACCAAATCCTGTGGTCAATATGTACGTAAGGCTGGAGATGGGGTGTATTTGAACTTTTTAACTGGGGACCTCGCATTACAAAAAGATATTCAACCCAAAGATGGTGATCAAAGTGAACAATTAGACCGAAGCATAAGGGCAGTTGCTCTGGAATTTCCATCCTTTATGTAAGCAACACCAGGCTTTATACTGAACCTCTTTCCTAAGTTCAATTTCACGTAAGATTCAACCTGAAAACGGTCAAAATTTTTGGGACCTTCACTCGTCCCACTGAACCTCATTCCCCATCCAAATGAATCTTCAGAATCATCGGACAAACTCACAGCCCAATTTAGATAATTAAGATCTGAGTTTTTCATCTCGATCCAACCTCCGATCTTAGTGAACTCGTCCATTTTGGACTCTATCATTAGAGCAAAGGATCCAATTGAGACCTTGCATTGGGAGCTTAGTCCCATTGGTAAAACAAATTCTTCAACCATTCTCTCAGGGGCTTCCTGATGCTTGTAACCACCAAAAGAAAGCGTGAGTGGTCCACGATCGGCAGGTTGACGTGATAATTTGGGCACTTGGAGAAGTCCTAGAAGAGAGAGCTTTGTTCCTCTTGGCAGTTGACATAAAACTTGCCCAAATGTGCTGAAGCAATGCTCAATGCTGTGAGAGTCCGGAGGTATTCCCAGTCCAGAAACAAACTGAGCCAATGAAGCAACAACATTTGATTTCTTCACCATTAAGCCAATAGCACTACCATTATGCAAATTCAAAAGGGGCGGTCCAGAAGATGAGATACCTGTAAGGCCCTTTCCCTGCAACAAACAAACTCAAATTCTCAATTAATCAACTGAAAACGAGTGAGAGGTGTTATAAGCAAAAAACCAGGGGAGGAAAAATCAGTGAGAAAACAAATAGGCCATGGTTGAGTTGCTTTTGCATCATATCATCATTATTTATAGAACAATTTTTCAAGCATTAAGCCTGATATGTGGTCGATTAAAGAACAACTTTAAAACAATTCAACACAAGGCTTGCCAGCCATGCCACCAGAGAAATAACCACACGCCTACACTTTATGCTATCACTACCATACAGATTAAATCTTCAAAAGGACCATTGAAACAAGCAAAACACATATATTAAACTACTGCTTTGACATCTTCCAGTCAAGTTCAGATCAAAACTCAAACCTTTTCAAGTTAAGTAAATACATAAAATCACAAGCAATCGACGGTTAATCTTATATATGTCAATTAACCTTAACGTCACAAATATATAGAATTATAATATCTTTCCGATATTATTCTTAACCATCTCCAATGCAATTAAAAGGTGTGAAAATAACATATTTGATGTGTCAATCAATTTTGTGCTCCAATATATACAAATGCTATATTCGTTAGTTGGTCATAATCATTAAGCTTAAAACTTATAAAGGCAAACATTTGATTTCAAAATAATTTGAAAATGGCAATGTTGTAATGATTAAATTAAAAAGTGAATGCAACAATCAATAGCAATCATATGCCAAAACTAGTCATATGCTATAGTTGATGTCAAATTTTACACCAAGTATAATATATACTAAATTTAGTATCAAGAATAGCCATGCATTGGAGAATGGTTTTCTATGCTAAAATTCCAACATTGACACACAAATTTAGCACTACACTAGAGATGCACCGTAACCAAATCCAGGTCACTAACTACAATTAAGTTGATTAGGATTGGTACCTGATGTGAAGGATTTGTGACGATTGCAACATCACTGCATTTCCCTCCCATTGGGATAACAAATGTGGATAGCCAATCACCAGCACTTGCTGTATAAAACACCTTTGCTAGAGAAAGTGAGCTTCCTAAGCCCTCCTCAACCATATTACCCTTGTTCTTTTGACCGCTAACAAACTCGACAACGAGGTTATCATTTTCCCGGACCGTCGTTTCGAAACTGAACCTCAAATCAACTCCGGTTCGGATTCCGGCACGACTCAGCACATCGCAGTCATCATGTTCGACATTATGCCTCATCACCAAAGCCCCCAAGATATCAAATTCCCCTCTGACAACAGTCCCAACTTCCTGGAAAGGACTCCCTTTGGCAGTTTTGTACAGGGAAAGAATTCTCTCTACCTTATCTTGTCTGTCCCGGAGTTTCATCAAATCCGAAAACGCCTCCCGTTGCAACCGCTTCAATATTTCAATCTGAAAAACACATATACCGAAGAATTGTAGGCCCCGTTCTTTTAATAGATTCGAATCACAATTCAACCATTTTGTTAAGGTGTTTTCTCTCAAAACAAATTTTGAATTTCAGTTCAAGTTTTCACTCAAATCTTTAATGAATGAACAGAATTACAAGCGAAGCTGAGTTCAATCGGATTTCGCAGAAAATCAAGGGTTAAAGTGTAGATACCGGATTCCGGCGACCGGAAGTATCACGACGGCGATGAATCAGGCCGTCGAAGAAGTCTTGGCTCCATTTGCCGAAACCTTCGAACTTGTCTGCCACGAATGAAACGGGCTCCATTTCAGGACGGCGAGAGAGAGTTTTGGATAAAATCCTAGAAGTAAGCAGCTCCGAGAAGAAAGACTATGGAGAGGAAACGTGAGAGGAGAAGTATCAATGAAGGAAAGAAACTAGAATGTTGGGTTTAAAAAGCGAGGGCGGGCAAAATCGACGCATTGACCATCCGGAGTCCAGAGAGAGGATTCAGTGGAGGGGTGGGCGAGAGACACTGGCAATCCTTGTTCGGAGACGACATCGTTTTCTTTGTTTTTTTTTTTTTTTTTTTTTCAGTCAATATTATTTTTGACAAGTTTTCAGAAAGTAAGTTAATAAAAAGATTTCCTTAAAAAAAAAAAAAAAACAAAAACAAAAACACTAGTGGAGCTCTTTTTTTCTTTTACCGTTGAATTAATTTTTAAATAAAAAATGAGATAAAAAAAAAGTGGGAAATACTAACGGTGCAAATAGAATAAAGAGTTTGAGAATCCAAGGGGATGATCAGTAGGTTTTTTGAGTGAAAAACTCTAAAAAAGTAACTGAGTTATAACTTTATTCGAATTCATGTTCTTTTAAGTTTGAATTCGAATTTAAGACTAAAACTCGAGTTCAAGTTTCACTTTCAATTCATGTTCAGAAACTCGAACTCAAATTAATGAACAATATTTTTTCTATTCTTAAAAATATTATAACTTTTTCATTTTAATTCTGATTGAGATGCTTTTTTTTTTATGTGTTGACAACGAAAAGACAAATAAAACTCCACCCATATAACCTATTAAAATTTTTCATCAGCATTGAGTTTTTATTAAAATACTATCTAAATACAAATTTAAGTTTTGACTTACTCAAACTCAAACTCAAAAAGATATTTATCTCAAACCATAACTCAAATGTACACAACCAAACACAAACTCAAATTACAACTTCAACTCAAGTTATAACTCAAACTCAACTCAAAATTTACACTCAAGTTACCTGATTAACGCCCAAAAGTGATGTTCACAAGTGGTCAATTGTAGCACAGAAGGGCGGTGTCCACAGAGAGATAACAAAATAACAAGAAAGACTAACAGAATAAGAGCGTTAGAGAAAAGTGAATTAAAGAAAAAGACGAGTTTTTAAGATTTTTGTTGTAAATAAAATAAAAAGGAGGAAATTTGTATGAAGAAAATTCAATAGTAAAAACGGTAAGGTGTCGAGAATCCCTAATGTTTCGTTCACCAATTCAAGTTTTGATTCACAATATAAAAGAATCGAATAAATTAAATCTCTATGTTGACTCCGGAATTATTATTATTACAAGTTATCCAAAATCGACAATATATCAATTTGATAATATTGCAGTAAAAAGACAATTTGCAAAATAATTTGAATAACAAAACAATGCGTGACAGAATTACATAAGAAAAGCGTGACTGAACTTATATAAAAATTGGCACACAATATTTTAAAAAGTAATAGAAAAATAGATGAGATTTAATTCATTAAGATATTAAATTTTACAGCACAAGGAATCAAAACTCTGAATTAGGTCACTCAACAGAAGTTCATCTCTAACCTCACCAAGAGAACTCTAGCCTAGCTTGCAAAACATTCTCACAAGTTCTAGAGAGAAAATATGAGACTGACAGCAATACGACAGAAATTGAATATTCAAAAGCTCTTGAAAACCTTAGGCCAACCTCTCTATTTATAGTGTTCAGAGGTTGCCTGTCAATTAAGGAAATAAATAATACAAATAGAAAATTACAAAAGAAAAGGAAATAAAATAAAATTACACATAAATGAGGAGAAATCATATATTTGATTTGGGGAAGAAATCTGGCCAATTTGCTCTGATTTTGAAGGAGAAATTCGGATTCAGCACCATGGGGACACGTGTCGCAACGTGATTGGCAATGAGGAGAAAACGCGCCACGTGTCACGGGCGGATTGGTTGGAGTGTGCTGGCGCGGGCAGAGTGGAGGACAGCTGCCACGCGCGGAAGAAAGAGGCAGGCTGCTGCTGTCGTACGGGACCCACGTGAGGAAAGCCTTGGACGCGCGCTGACGGTTGCGTGGAAGGAACGCACGCTCTGATTAGCCGCGTGCTGCTGACGCGCGAGGCGCGCGATGGCAAGAAGAAGCGGGCGTGGATTTCCGCGCTGACTGGTGAAGTGGCTTGGCTTGGTGGCTTGACTCGACTTGGCTCCGGGTGGTTGAAAATATGGCTTTAATGGCTTATTTTTGTGTAGCTTTTTATATTACTTTTTATCTGTAAATAATTAAGCAAAAATTAGATAAATTCTAATTAAAAATATTATGAATAAAAATAATAGAATTGCTTAATTAAAGTTTAAATATTTTAATATTATATAAATCAAAAATAGTATTTAAAGTGTATTTTCTTGCACTAATCACACCTAACTCAAAAACGTCAAAAGAACGTGTCCTCAGTAGTGCAATTGTCAAGTCTACGTATTTCTCCACACTCGTATATATTAGTAAGCTGGATCATAAGTCAACATTCGGAGCAAGTATAGTTATTCGGTTGGGCCGAAAAGCCTTTCAAATTCCAACAAAAACTATAACATTTAAAAGAGAAAGAAACCGAAAATACCAGTTAAATAGTAAAAAAATATATATATATATATATATATAGAAAAAATTACATATTTTACATTCTTAAGAACCGACTTACTAAAAGTATATATTTTAAAAAATTCTATCTCTTAATTAGTTTTAGCCCAAAAAGTAAAAATATAAGGGCTAATGTTAAGTGATAGAAATAAAATAAATTCCATTTCAAGAGATATTCTTTAAAATCACTCTCAAAAATATTATTTATATTATTTTATTAAAAAATAAATAATTGTCATTGAATTAATAAAAAGAAAAGAAAAGAATCATAATGACACTTAATCATTTAAAATAGCATAAATATATACGCTTATAGAAATTATAATAAATTATGTACTTTTTTTATTTTAAAAAGAAATAATCACGTTGAAATATACCAATTTATATATATATATATATATATATCTCTTAGAAATAGTAAGAATTGGGTAACTTGCGCCACAAGTTCTCGAACTTTATAATTTTTAGTATTTGAATCCCTATTTTAAAAATTTAGAGATTGTTTTTTTGCATTTTTGAGTTAAGTCGACTTGAGTGATGATCTTCAATTGAGTTTGAGTTATAACTTGAGTTGGAGTTGTAACTTGAGTTTGTGTTTGGATGTGCACATTTGAGTTATGATTTGAATTGAGAATCTATTTGAGTTTGTGTTTAGGTGGGTTAAAACTTAAATTTGTATTTAGATATTATTTTAATAAAAACTCAATGGTGACGAAAAATTTTAATAGGGTACGTGGATGGGGTTTTATTCTTCTTTTCATTGTGAATGCATAGAAAAAAAATCATCTTAATCATAATTAAAACGAAAAAGTTATGACATTTTTAAAAATAGAAAAAATATTGTTCATTAAATTGAGTTCGCCTGTTTAGTTTGATGATTCGAGTTTTTAATTTGAGTTGAGATGTGATTTTATGTGATAGCCTTTTACTATAGTAAAAAAGTTAGATGTGACTGTTTCTGAGAGCCCCGTTCACTTCGCTGATTCGAGTTTTTCTACAGTAAAAAACTCTCACAAACAATCACATCTAACTTTTTTGCTACAGTAATAAGCTCTCACATAAAGTCACATCTCAACTCAAATTCTAAACTCGAATCAGCGAAGTGAACGGGGTAGCAAAACTCGAATTCTAAATTCAAATCGGTGAAATGAACGGATAGACAATAGGATGTTTGGTAGAGGGATTCGTTCCCTGATTCGAATCATGATTCATGGTTCGCTATAGTATTTTCTCTCACAAAAAATTCACGTAAATCAAAAATAATTTGAATAACATGGTTTAAATCTTCCAACCAAACGTCATCTAGATTCTCAAACTCTTTATTCTATTTGCACCGTTAGTATTTCTCACTTTTTTTATCTCATTTTCTATTTAAAAATTAATTCAACGGTAAAAAAAAAGAGCTCCACTAGTGTTTTTGTTTTTGTTTTTTTTAAGGAAATCTTTTTATTAACTTACTTTCTAAAAACTTGTCAAAAATAAAATTGACTGACAAAAAAAAAAAAAAAAAAAAAAAAAAAAAAACAAAGAAAACGGTGTCGTCTCCGAACAAGGATTGCCAGTTTCTCTCACCCTTTTCTAGCCAAAAACACATTTTCGGTTGTCTATGATGGCCTTAATGCATTGTAATCATAACTGTCGCATGTAATTTCATCGTCCTAAATGGAAATTAACCAAAGGGTAGCACCTCCAATTTTACTTTTTACACACGCATTTTTAAACCATCTCTCATTCTATTTGTTACACTCTTTTAAAATTTTAAAAAAATCTCTACAACTAAATTACCATATATTTTATTTTTTACACACATTCTTAAACTACCATCTAAAAATTAATAAATAAAAACCATTTTCAACACAAAAAAAACTTGGTGATTGCTATCTTCCTCCTCTCACGTGCCCAGACCTTTCTCTCAATCTTCTTTATTTTCTTCTCTTTTTCCTTTCATGTCTTCTTAAGATCTCTCTCTGCGTTTATGTTTATGGATTTGTTTGATGCGTTTTTGTTTGTTGTATTATAGGGAGATATGATTGCAAATCTGGCCGGATTTGTTTTTGCGGGTCAGGCTCCTTTTTTTCATTTCTTGGTTTTTCGGTTTTCGGATTTGTTTGATTTTGAATTTCCAAATGCGAATTTGGCTTATATCTGTGCTTTATTGTTAGCGTTCGGAACGTAAATTTTTTTTAAATGGGGTGTGTAATAAGTATTTTTTTTAAAATTATTATTGTCTTTAAAAGTAATTTTATTAATGAATACTTTAATAATAAATAATTTATTAAAAAATGTGTGTAAAAAGTAAAGTAGATGTAAATAAACGCACACTTAACCAAAAAGAATTTGACTAAAGTGCTCGTCAACTCATTCTCATTCCTAGAAGTCTAGAAGATTGTGTCCCTCATGCGTTTGTTTGCCAATAAAGTATGTCTACCCTTATTAATAAGTTATGACCAAACATAAAAGACAACAGATTCTACATGTAAATCCCTATTTATTTATAAAGTAATTCGTGAGTAGAAAATATTTGAGGCATACTATTAGTAATAGAAGAATGGTATCATAATAAATTTTATTGTGGGACTTATCTTCTGTTAATATTGTATAATAACACCATTAATATT